ACAACAACAGATTATTGTAGTCTACAAAACAGATCCTTAAGAAAGCATTAGTACTGCTGGGGCTCATTTATTTGTAAAGGTCTTACAGTTTTTACGTTTTTATAACAAATTCTATAGTGATCCAGTCTACTTCACTGCTCTCCTGAGACTTCAGAGAAGTCAGAAGAGGCCCCTCAGGAGAGACCCTTCTTCACCTAATTCTGGTCTGGATCATGCTTTGACCTTCCTCCAAGTCAAATCCATGCCCCCTTTAGCTCATTGTATAATACTTGCCTTTCCTACACTTTTCCCTCTCATTTTTTCTATCAGTTTCAAGACATGTGCATATTGAACCTAAAATTCAAATATTTGTTACTAAGCTTCTTACGATTAACATCAGCACCTCTGAAAATGCCTTAAAGCATTTGCCAACTAACCCAACATACTATCAAGTCATAGCAGTCTTCTGAAATCATTTTAGTATCTTCCAAAAAGCATTTATTCCCTATCTTGCATACAAACTCAGTGATGAAACATTGCATATATTTTTTACTTATGACACTAAAAATGTAAGATACAAAGGGAAAATAAGTGGGAGATTAATTTATTCCCCCCCATAAGCAAACACTACAATGAAAGGATTTTCATAACATCACTCAATTAATTTTCTTGAGGATAAAAGTGTGTATTATTCAGTTCCCTTTGGAAATATGCATTCAGAGCAATGAAAATAATAATAATAACATTAATTGAAATTTTAGATGGAAGACATTTCCAAAGCATTTAATCCATTTGCTTATATTCATTCCACACTTATATGTCACAATCCATAATTCACAAAACCAAAGCGTGTCCTCAAGGCTATTTTGCATATCCATTAGAAGTCCATGGGGCTGTAGCATAATCTGTTTAATTAATGAATTCCATCAGCTGAATGCCAAGTCAAATAAAGAACAGACTAAATATGAGCAGCAATATCTGAAACTAAAGTCCAGAAAGCTTAAACAAGCCAGACCTCATCTGAATTACACAGCATCAAGAAACCTTCAGTTCAAAGAGATGATCTCAATATATGTTCACAATCAAGCAACAAATTTACAG